AAAAAAAAACAGCCTCCCACATGGTGATATTATGCTCTGAAACTTCAGTTCAACTCACACAGAAGAACAAAGTTTTTAATTTGTCTAAACTGCTACAGTCTGTGTTACCTAGATAAGCTGGTAAGAGTACTGGGGGGTCTATTTCACTCTAATCACCGTATTTTCTTGAGGAATTCCTAGTCCAAATAATGGCCCAGGGACAAGGTGTGCTACCTTTGAAACAGGCCAAATTGAAAGAAACCCTCGGCCTTTGTTTCCACTTTTCTCCTGCTGTGCTTAAGAAAGAAACAGGAAAGTATTTTCTGCAGATAGCCAGTTATACATTGTTTCTATCTCCCTAGTTTGAGGCTGTCATATTGAGGTAAAGCAGCAAAAACAAACATCTGAAGGCTCTGTAACATGCTGTGACATTGAGATGTGATTTCCTAATCCATTCCAGAGTCACCTCAAACATGCGTCGTGAAACGACGAGAACACTTCTGGGACATAAAAAGTTTCACTGGGGCCAAAGACCAGGACTAGATATTGACCTTTAGGCACAGATCCTAGTCTCCACAGCATCATACTGGCCAAGTCAGAGCAGACAGAGCTCAGTGATGAGCTTTTGGGGGATTTCTAGACCTAGGGTGGGCTGCTCAAGTCCAGGCTGTGGTCAGTTTTCTCCTGACTCTGAGAATTCCCTCAGATTTAGGGATGGGCCTGGTCTGATGATACAGAAAGAGAAGTAAAGAGTTGCAGTGCTGATCAGGACGTAAGTGCCTTTCTGATATGCATCCCTTGGTGTTTGGAGCACTTGAGGAAATGGTTTCCCATTCCCAGACTCAGATCAGGGCAGGTTTGGTACTAAAATGATGAGGGCTCGCAGTTCTGTGGCTCCACAAACACCCAATTCTGCAGGGAGGCTTCTGGGTCAGTTCATGAAGGATTCCTATATATATCTTCCCATTTCCCTCCACTGGTTAAAAACTCTTGTCTGACCTGTACATCCCTGGAGAGTCCCTGAGTATTGACTCTGTTCTGTCCATGTAACCACTAGTGTGATGCCCCAGGTGTTTCCTCTTTAGAGTCAGCAGCTCTGCCTAGATTCTTAATCCCTAACTTGGATGACTTTAAATGTGGTGGACAGTAGCAGATCTTCACCTGCTCACCAAGACCTGACTTGATGTTAGTTTAAAAAACCTAGCAGTCTACAGGTTCCATACTGTGAAATTCATTTGCAGGCCCCACAAGCCATGAAATAAGCAACTGGAGGAAGTGTATCTATGTTTAGTGTACCAGGAAAGGAAGGCAGCAAGAAGCCAGACCCTGAAAGGCATGACTTGAGAGGCACCCCCATTTGGGCTCCCAGGAAAGATGCAAAATGGAAGAGAAAAATCAGAAAGTTATCCTAACTTCTGGTAAGGAATTACGATGGTCAAAGTTGATGCAAGCAGTTTTCACGGCACTTCTGGCAAGTGCAAAGGTTCCTACGAAGGGACCGTTTCTTTGCTTGGATGCAGCCATTTAACATCTTTATGGAGGCCCTCTTTGACCAAGAGAGACAAAGGTAGCAGACCCTCCATCCTCAGATGTCAGGGGATCTAGCTGTGCCATCTTCTTCCCACTGCTAAGGCTTGTTTTGGCTGGTGAATGTTACTGACCAAGGCTGCTGTGGTGGCCTGAGGCCAGAGGTGATCCCAAGTTCCTTTATTTAGTGTTGAATCTCCTGGGGGAACAGTAGTCTGGGAGAGTCCCCTAGAACTGGACCCGAGGAGTCAGCTGGTAGCCTTTAAATAGGACTACAGCTCCACGGAAGTAGAAGGAGCAAATGGACAAGAATTTTATAGGCAGCAACTAGATTAGGGTGGAGTATATGTAGGATTTAGGCTTCAACTTGATTCTTCTTCCTTCTGAAAAACAGTAGTTGAGGCAGGTGTGAAGCTAACTGTAAGAGGGAAATGGCCAAGGTCAGGCAAACATTTGGTCGCTTCACCAGCTTCGTGCCTGGGCAGCTATCCCACTCTTGGCTCCTGCAGCCTTGCCGTGGCCTCAGGAGCTTGAATCAGCCTATCACCAAGGGTCTGCCCCAGACCTCTTCCATGTGCACACGGGGAAAACATGATGAAGACAGGGAAAAAAGATGGAGGTTTTCCCTTCCTGGAGAGGAGACTCACTGATCAGGTTCATGAGCCTCTGTAGTCATGAGGTTCATACTGAATCCACAGAGAGGCATAGCAACAGCAGGATTGTTTAGCAAACACGTCCCTCTCCTTTCTGTTCCACACAGTCCCCCAAATCACTGTCCTACACGTCAGGTGCCTCTGAGCCATAGCCCTGGGTTGGCCCAGCCAAGGGCCCTACAGGTCTGAGTGGCCACAGATGAAAGAGACAGATCAGATGCTCCAGCACTCAGGGTTCATGAGATTCAGAACTGATATTCTTTCCCTCTATACATACACTCTTCTCTCTTGGGCAGCTATAAATAGGGTTGTTCTAATAGAGAAAAAGGAAACAAAAACAAAAACCCCTCCCTCTAGACAACATAGAAAGACTCAAAATGATTGCACTTATTAGATGTGGACAGGGTGGGCAGGAGGCTCGCCAAGTGCACACATTCCTCTTGCTGCCCACAGCCTGAGGCCAGAGGTAGGTGGCTCCAGGCTGGCTGCAGAGCAGGGTCCTCTTTGGTGGCACCCACAAGCCACCTAGGGTGACAAGGGAAGGATGACTGTGGGCCGAGGCCCAGGCTGGCTATGGTCAATAGCCAGGTTTCTTAGCAAGAGGAGTAGGGCTCCCCCAGGGAGCTCTGGAGTGGGGTGAGGGCATGGCTGGGCCAGGGGAGACAAGAAAAGGGATTAGTGTTTGAGGCTGGCTACCAATTGTTCTGTAATTTAGTCCTTTAGACGATACCTTTGCTTTTTTAGCAATGCTTTAAAACCTGTTTTCTGTCCTGCAGAGCTGTAGTCTTTCAGGGAGCCACAGCGAAGCCTGTGATGCTTGCTCCTCATTCAGCGGTGTCCGCTAGCCCAGTGGCGTGGGCCATCTGTAAACCCTCATGGAGTCTACCCTAGGCAGACGTGTAGGGGAAGAAAGAGAGGAGCTATATAGACAAGAAAGCCAGCAGGGTGGGCTGCCCAGGCTCAAACCATGTGCCTCAGCAGACCAGTGCTGGCATTAAGCCTGTAAGTCAAAAGCTTCTTTGGCAGAACCCCGCACTGTTAAGAGTCTCCCTGGGGAGCACAGCCAGGGGACCTTTTGGCTCCTCACTAGCAAGGCACAACCCTATAATGGCAGAAGCCCCTCCTCCCCTTCCCCATTCCCTGGTGGACCCACTTCCTATGTGGGCCTCAAGTACCCTTTCAAACTGACAGGGCAGCAGTGTGAGCTGGTGAGATGGGCAGGGGAGAGGGCAGTACTGTCCCTTCGCCCCTCAGGGGAGTAGAGCCAGCACAGAATGGCTTTTCTAGGAAGCACATAGGAAAGAGGTAGAGAGAGACAGAAAGAGAGAGAGAGAGAGAGACACACACACACACACAGAGACACACACACACACACACACACACACACACACACACACAGACAAGGAAACTAGAAAGACAGAAAAAGAGAGTGCCTGGTCTGTGTAGTGATATTTTTCCTCCGGAAAGAAAAAGAGGACTCATTCCTTGTCTGAGGGTAGCGGCTGCCCGCTCTGAGGACTGAGGCGTCTGAGGGCTCTGGAAGCTGGGTCTCCGAGCACGTGGGCACTATTTGTAGGGCCTCAGGAAGCTGGACACTTTGGAGCGCAGCAGCTTGATGAAGGACTTTGGTAGCATTTCCTTGTGTTTCTCTGTATACTTGAAATAGTTCTGGGGGTGGGCCAGCACCTCAAAGAAGGCCTTGATGAGCTTCTTGTCCTGCAGGAGATGGCAGGTGGCAGTGTCATCCTCCATGTCCCGGGTGGGAAGGAGCAACACCAGCCTCGCCCCAGCAGCCCCTCGATGTCCAGTGGCATCTCACATGGCACACCCCAGAGCTGAACTCTGGACGGCCATCCTCCTCATCTGCTCCTCCTTTAGAACTCCACAAGTCCATGGCAGCCGCAGCCTTCTACTGCCCAGCCTGCCTGCGGAGCCTTCTTTGACCCTGACTCTTGTTCACAACTGCAGCAAATCCTGCTGACTCGGCTTTCAGGACATAGCCAGGGTCTGACCACGTCTTGCCATTTCCATGGCTACCAGCCCAGGCCAAGCCCCATCATCCCTCACTTGCATATTGCAATAGCCTGGCCAGTCTCTATGCTTCTGCCCTTGACCCTCCACAGGCTGTTCTTCCCACAGCAGCCAGAGGGACTTTTGGGGTGTTTAATTAGTGCACCTTTTTCCTGTTTGATTTTTTGGGACAAGGTCTCAAAAATCCTGGGTTTAAGCCATCCTCTCACCTCTGCCTCCCAAGTAGCTGGGCTCCAGGAATATGCCATAGGACCTGGGTAAGGTTTATTCTTTTTTTTTTTTTTTTCTTTGCACTGCTAGGGATTAAAGCTGTGGCCTAATTCGTGCTAAACATCCGGTCGACCCGTGAGCTACATACCCTGTGCTCTTCTGGCTTCTTTTATCTCAGAGTAAAAGCCAAGTCCCTTGGATGGTACAATTGGTTGCATGGGACCTCTGCCCTGCTCTGCCCTCTGCTCTGCCTTCCCCTGCTGAGCCACTCTGGGCTTCTTAAGGTTGCAAACTTGCTAAACTCTCCCATGCTCCTTAGCACCTTCTAATGGGTGTCCCTGACCTCCTCAGATGCCTTTCCTGGTCTCTATCCCAGCAGCATGATGTGTGGAGTGCCAGGTGCCATGCATTAAAACTCAGCTCTCCTGGCTTCTAGGCTGGGCCTCTTTCCACTGCATCTGAGGATTTCTAAAACAGCAGGTGGGGTTCCCAGCCTCTCACGCCTCCTCTAATCAGAACAGCTGTACTATTTTATGCATTGGACTTCCAGGGAATATTTGATTTGAAATAATGATTCAAATGCTTTTAAAAAGTTTGAAAAGTATTGCTAGAATTATGTTCTTTGAAATCTGTAGGTTCTAAGAGATTTTTGTCATCATGAATTTTATTTTGATAACATGTAAATCCTGTCACTTATAATAACATTAGTGGATTTTTTCTTGTAGTGGTAATTTATGAAGGCTAATTTTGACTACAAGTATAATTTCTTTCTGGTTTTTTTGGTACCAGGAATCAAACCCACGACCTCTCGCTTGTGAGCCAGGTGTTGTGCCACTGAGCTATATCCCCGGCCCTACAGGTATAATTTCTTAAGCAGGATTTTCTCAAACTGGGATCCACAGACCCAGAGTGTATAGTTTATTCAAGACTGGAAATATTTTGTTGCTCTTAATTTTTTTTTTGGACACAGTGTCTTACTATGTAGTCCATGCTGGCCTTGAACTCATAGTGAGCCTCCTGCCTCTGTCTCCCAACTTCTGGGACCACAGGCGTGCGCCACCATGCCTGGCTCTCCTTTCCTTTAAAAGACATTGAAGCTGAGCATGGTGGCGCACACCTGTAATCCTAGCACTCGGCAGGCTGAGGCAGGAGGACTGCCATGAATTTGAGGCCCGCCTGGGTTACATAAGTGAGTTCAAGGCCAGCCTGCACTACCTAGTGAGACCCTGTGTCAGAAACACCAATAAATAAATACAAACAGACTTCTAAAGGCTGGTGATGTGGCTCAGTGGTAGAGTGTGTGTCCAGCATCCACGTAGCTCTAGCTCTGTACAACAGAGTTAAAAAGATGCCTGTCTGTGAATTGATGCTGGGACAGCTGTACTAGTGTGCTGCTTCTCTGTGGCCTGGGGAGAGAGTAAGGGATGGAAGGGACTTCTGCCAAGGGCATCTCTCTGTTCTTCAGCTCCTTGCTACCTCTGGGAGGAAGAGATACCCTTCACTTTCCCTTTCTCGCCCATCTTTTCCCTAAGGTCTAACGTGGTGCGGGTGACACTGTAGTCAGATGGGCTGGGCTCAAATCCTAGCTTTACCAGGAGGCAAGTTCTTTAACTCTGCCTCAGTTTTCTCATCGGGAATGACGAAAGCACGCACCTCCTAGAGCTTCTGCTTGTTCCGAATAAGAATATTCACACTGGCTAGCACACGGTCTGCACAACAGCCACATGCCCATTAATGCCAGCCGTCCTTGTCGTTAATATTCACTTGCCTTTAAGATCTCCTGGTGGTTTTCGGAGGCATAGAGGCGGCCGTCCCGCACAATGTCTTCTACCAGTTGCTCATAGTCCTCTGCAAAGTTGAGCAAGGTGGGGGTGGCGCTGAGGGGTCAGACTTCTTCCTGCTTCCCAGCTCCCTCCCAAGACCCCTGAGCCTCCCCTTCCTTACCCGCTTCCCCAGCTCTCCTGCCCTTGCTCACCATCATAGGTCACGTAGGGAATCTGGAAGCCTCGGGCGCTGTTGGCCTCGCTCGTCTTGAAGTTAATCCAGAGCTTCCTGGATCGGGCCGTGAAAGCGATCGGGCGCTCATAGGTCTGGCAGGTCTCGTAAGTGGTAATGGAGGATGGGGAGGCTGGCGAGGCAAGCGGCAGGTCAGGAGGGCAGCTGAGCAGGCCACCCAAGCCCTGCCGGGAAGAGGGCTGTGGAGTGGGGGCAGGGGAATCACTGACAGAGACTCCTCCCTCCAAACACATGCATACCCTCAGACCTCCCACTGCCCCTGGGTTGATCCTGAAAGCCCTCTGTGATGCTTGGGCCCTCACAGTGTGTACGAAATTTGACAGTTAATAAACGAATTGGCAAAGCACGAGGATTAGAAAGTGACACGCGGAGTTCTAGCCCTAGGGCTGGCTTTCTGCACTGTGCCACACCCTCCACTGATGCTTCCCGTCTCTGCTCCCACTTCTCCTGTACCAAAGTCTCCCTCCCGGCCAGACTGGGACTGCCCTTCCCTGGACCGGTGCTGCAGCCACCCACAGTTCTTTCTCATGACGAGGACGTCCCCACACTCATCCTCAGACGGCAGGAAGATCTCGGGCACCACGATAAGGATCTTGCGCTTGGGTGGGGGGTTGATGTTCCAGATGCACTCCACTCCGGCTGGGTAGTTGCCCGGGTAGTTGGGGGACTCAATATAGCCAGTGAACTCACCTAGCTCCCCACCACACTGACGGTCTGCAGCCAAGCCCCAGGGACAGAGCAAGAAAAAAGGAAAGTCAGTGGGGAGCCGGGTTGGGGATGTGGAGGAGTCCTGAAGTCAGAGATCAGACGTGTGGCAGCCCATCATTCACTGTCTACTCCTCAAGTTCTGGGTCCAGCTTCCTTCCTGTCCTCTTAGCGCCTTCTCTTCTTGAGTCACCCATTTCTGCCTCCCCATTACCTATTTCCAGGGAGAGGGCGCTCCAGGGCTCAGCCTAGCAACTGGCCTGGAGATTGAGTGGGGTGGGAGCGTGGAGGGTGGCACTTCCCTGGGATCTGCCCTGCTTCCTGAGTCGGCCACTCCCCTTTCTTTCTTTCTTTCTTTCCGTACCCACTGCCCCCAGGCTTCTACCCGCTTTCCCACGGCTTGGCCTGCCACATACTCTTGCACTGGGCCACACTGGTGGAGCCATCAAAGTCAGTGCTTGTGTTTCCTGGACAGCGGGTGCAGAAGTTCTGACGGAAGTCAGGCTGGTAGGAGCCCATGGCACAGCGGATACAGCGATGGATGCTGGTGTTGTAGTAGTGCCCTGGGGAGCACTGGACTGCAGGCAAAGGGGGAGAGGCGGGAGTCAAGGGAGCTGGCAGGTAGGTGTTCTGGGCACACGTTCATCATGGTGAATCAGGGGACCCAGGACTCCACAGTTTTTCCAGGGTCCCAGCTCCTCCTAGTCAAGCTTAAGCCCAGCAAAAATAAACTTCACAGAGTGGTTGTCTGTAGTGCCAGTCCTTTTCTTTCAAGCACCGAGCAGAGTGCTGAACCAATACAGAGACTCCTTTGGGGTGTGGAGGGGAATGTGCTGCCCGTTCTCCAAAGCGGGGGACAAAGTGGGACTCTCAATTCAGGATTCCCAGGTTTAGGCCTGGGTGGCAGGAAGGTCCTGGGAGCAGGATGGTGTGACTGGTTAGGCAGCTGGGCCTTTCTCACTTTGGGGCAGATGGCAGGAATATACTCGGCTTCCTCTGGGGACCTGGAGAGGTTTCTTTTTTTTGAGCACTTGGGGTCAGAGAATCCCCCTAGTGGGTACTCACTCACCTTTGGTGTCACAGTCTTGGAAGGAGATGGCCCCTTCGTGCTTGGTAGTGAGGCCCCCACCACACGGGAAGCACAGGGTCCGTCCTGCTTCGGGTTGGTAGGTGCCACGTGGGCACGGCTGGCAGGGCTTAAACCCATCCACAGAGTGCTGACCAGGTGGGCACTGACCTGCAATGAACCAAGGGCCCAACTCTGATGGGGATGGTCCTGAATCACCCCCATGGGGTCGCCCAGCCTCAGGGGACAGCAGCATAAGAACAGGATGTCAACTAGGAGTGGCCTGGAGCCTGGGCCTGCCCTTTGGGAAATCCCATGCCCATGGGCGTCCCAGTGCCCACCCTACCCCACTCTATATTGTTTGTTCCCCTGGCACCTGCACACGTGGTGATGTTGGTGGCTCCAAGAGGCCCTTGGGCATCACTCCCAGGGCAAAGGTCGCAGGAGAGCTGCCCTTCTCTCTCCTGGAAGGTGCCCGCTGGGCATGGCACACACTGCTCCGTCTGGCCGTGGTAATACGTTCCCTGCGGGCAGCTGACTGAGGGAGAGTCGGCCGCGCTAGCCACCCACCCCCCATTTCCCACCACCCCGGCCTAGGACTCCCCTTCCCGCTCCCCCAGATCCAGGGAGAGCCTCTCTGTCCCTGATTCAGTAACCTGAATCGTGCTTAGAAGGGTAGGGCAGTTAAGTGTGTGCAGGAGGGTTGCTGCCCCGCCTGGTACCCTAGATTTCATCCTGGGACAGGGAAGGGAGGACAGCAGGCAGGAAGGTCTCAGCTGCCTCATAATTTGAGAAATGCATCTGAGGCTGTAAGGGGCCCCTCTCTGAGCAGGCCTGAGCTGGGCCTTCCCCGCTCCTCTGCTCCCCGGCAAGCTCCCTTACCACACTTGGCCCCAGCACGGTGCTGCCCGGGCCTGCAGACCTCCACCAGTTCCGCTCGCTCCCCAGCTCCCAGGCCCGGCTTGTGGGCCAGCTCATAGTCAAGGCCAGCCAGGCGCAGCAGGAAGCGGTCCTGGTTGATGGACTTTCTGAGCATCTTCAGGGACCCTTTGAGTCGCCGTTCCATCCGCTGTCGCAGGCAGGGCAGCCCGCAACCCGCTGGTGGTGGATGGTGGTGTGCGTGGGAAGAAGAGAGAGAGAGTGGCGTGAGCAGGAGGGAGGGAGCGAAGGCGGGAGGTAAGAGGACAGGTTCTTGGCTCGCACTGTACGGCATCGATCCCTTGCACAGGCCCTGTCCTTTCCTTGGGCTGTGAGACCTGTCGTTTCTCCACCGCTGCCCTCCCTTTCGTCCCTCCACCCAGCTCTGTCCCCAGTCCCACCTGTGGTTTCTTCAGCTCTGACCTCTGCTTCCAGTTCCAGGGAAAGCCGGGTGACCTCCTTGCCTGGAGGGGTCCGGGCCCGCCGGCCCTTGCCCTTCCGAGAGGAGTCACACTTGAGGTGGATGAAGGTGACCTGGCAGTCAGAGCAGGGGGCAGCACCTGGGGGGAGAGGCCTTGTCAACCCCAGGGGTACCGCAAGGGACAGGGAGAGTTCTCCCTCCCAGCCCCCCAGGCAGACCTTACCACATCCCTGACTAACTCCCTCTCCACCCTCTTTAGTTTAGGGTGCTGGTTAGATGGTCACGGGAGTGTCCCGGGGCTTCCTTGGGCCCCACACCCACATCTGCTGTCCCCTGCCCTGTGGGGGGTTCGGGAGCTGGAAGGTCTCTGGAGGAAATCTCACTAAACAGAAGGGCTGGCAGGTGGGGAGGGTTTGGTAGCCAGGTAGCCCAGAGCAGTGAGGTCCCCAGTCCAGACCTGGCCCTGGGGATCTGCTGGCCTCTTCCAGTTTGCCTTTGTTCCTCAGGTGCAGACGACACTTGGCATCCTTGACCTTGAAGGAGGCCCGCTGTTTAACCAACAGCACTGCAGCCTCTAGAGGGATGGCAGAAGCTCAGCACAGCATGGGCCCCGGGCGAGAGATGCTTCCAGGGTGTTGTGGGGCCGGGCTGGAAAGTGGGGTTAGGAAAGCCCAGGGGACCGGATGGTGAGGGCAGAGGAAGGGGCAGCAGGGCTGGAGAATTATGGAGCAATGGAGGAGACCCAGGAAAAAGTCAGGCCCGGGGGTTCATGACAAAGCAAAACAAAGGGTGAGTGCAGGACAGGAGGCTGGGAACAGGGCTTCCGGGCCGGTGCTCACCATGGCAGTGGCTGGAGCTGGTGCTGTTCCCAGGGTGGCTGGCTCGGGCGGCAGCAGCCCTCGGGCTGGGGGTGCCACAGCTCACCGTGAAGCCATTCTCGGACTCTGAAGAAGGGGCCTGTCACTGCTCTGACCTGCCCCCCCAAACCCACTGGCGGGGTGTCCTGGGGGGTCAGAGGAGCTGCTGAGCAGCCCCCAGCCCTCCAGCACCGCCCTCTCAGGTACCTGGCAAAAACCGGGCCCGGGAGGGGCAGGTCAGGGCACAGGTGTCCTTCTTGCCAGACCGGTTGCAGCTGAGCATGGCTTTTGAGGCGCCAGGGCTGCCTTGACACTTCGCTGGCTCTAGGAAGGGGAGAGAGGCCTGAGGAGACAGGTGCATTCCTCTCCCACCCTCTCCCTCAGTTGGTGAACATGCGGAAGAAAATCAGCTACACGCAGAACGTTGAAGGGGATGTTCACCAGGAGAGCCACATCTCTAACTCCGATGGCTGCTCCACCTGCTTCCCCCTCACACTCCCTGCCCGGTGCTGTGGGTTCTTCAGGACCCCAACGCTCCCCTGAAGCTGCAGTGCCAGCTCTGGCCAGCAGAGTGCGCCGCGCACCTGTGCAGTCCTTGCCGTTCCAGTGCAGCCGGCCCTGCCCTGCCGGGCAGGTACACTGGTAGCTGCCAGGAGTGTTGATACAGCCAAAGCGGCAGCCTCCGCGGTTGATGCTGCACTCATCCACATCTGGGGGAAGGAGAAGGCAGACAGACAACAACGGTGGGGCAGGCGCCGGCGCCAGGGAGTGGGGACTTTAGAGGTCAAGGCGCCCTGAGTTAGGCAAGATGGTAAGTTCTAGGGATCTGTACCTTACGGCTGTCATTAACAGTGCCGTGCAATATACATTTAAAATTTGTTAAGAGGATAGATATCATGTTAAATATCCTCACAATTGAAAGAAACTAAAAAGTGTTCCCTGGCCTGTGAAGAGCTCAAACCTCCTCTTAGCTCTGTCCCCAGTGTAAGGAACCTTGAGGAGGGGTCAAGCTGACAGTTTTTTAAAGCCTCCTGTGCTGTCTGCCAGTAGGGCTGCAGTCTGGAAGCTGAGGCTGGAGGCCCGGGGACAGGGACAGGGATGGGAGGCAGGCATTTTGGAGGCTGCTGTTCCCTCGTGCCCTGTCTCCCCAGGGGTCTTTAGCAAAGCTGCCCTAACCCCTCCTCACAGCAGATGCCGACGTGGCACTTCCACCAGAGGCTTCCCGGAGCCGCAGCCAACGCAGGGAGTCAGCCAGTTGGCAGGTGAGAGGTGGCTGGAGGGTGCATCCTCGCTGGCTTACCTCCACAGTGGGTGACACCATACAGCAGGTAGCCACGATGGCAGAGGCACTGGAAGCTTCCTGGTGTGTTGACACACATGTGGTCACAGGTTCGGTCGAAGGAGCACTCGTCTATATCTGGAAGAGCAGGGGTTCAAGCGACAGAGTCTGCCTGGGGGCACTGGCCCTTGCTCGGGTGAAAGACCAAGCGAGGGTCCTTGGCCTTCTCCTCCTCGAGTTCAAAGAGATCCTACTTGTGAGCCGGCCCTCGATGGGTGATTGAGCTATGCCAACCCACCCTCCTCGCCACCTCTACTGGGAGTCTGGAACTGCAAGATCAGTGTGCTGCCAGTGGGTCGGGGCACCACGTGTGGTCAGGCAGGCACTTTCTGCAAAAGACACGCACTAGGGTGAAAGCTGCCCCCCCTCCCCGCCATGCGGTGTGCTCCGGCGTGGATCTGGTCTGCCAGAAGGAAGGTGTAATTTGCCAGCGTGCAGCATGACACTCCTACAGGCCCTACTCCTACGCAGTGTCTACTGAGTGTCACGGGTGCTGGCCTCCTTGAAGCTCTCCCACTCTGAGAACCTCTCCTAAGGCGTTCACCGCGGCCCGGGTCTGCTCACCCTGGCAGTTCCTCTCATTGATGAGAAGCTTATAGCCTTTCTTGCAGCTGCATTCAAAGCTGCCCACTGTGTTGCGGCAAATGTGATCACAGCCCCCATTGTTGAGGCGGCACTCGTCTATGTCTGGGAAAGGACAAAACAGAATAAAAGATAGTATCAAAGAACAGGAAAAACCAACCAACCAACCAAGGAGCCAAGATCCCTTCTTTACAGGGACAAGGCAAACCATGGAGGGCCCAGGCCTGCCCCTTCTGACTCCTCTGCCACTCTCCTGGCTCCGTTGCTTCCTGCTCGGGGATCAGTGGCCACTAATAGCACCCTCTCTTCCAGGCCTGAGTCCCAGGAGCCAGGCTCAGGCCATCAGGGACTTCCGGGAGCAGGGAGCCGGGAGCAGATGGGCATCTGACCTTCAGGGTAGGCCATGCCCGTTACTCTCCAGCTGACGGACATTCCCAAGAAAGCTCGTGGCTACAGCTGTCCCTTTCCTATCCCCAAGCCCCGTCCCGAGGGCCCTGTCAAGAGTGCTGAATAGGGCCAAGAAGGGGTGGAGAGTCAGAGTGACTCAGTGGAGAGGGCCAGCCTTCAGGGAGGAGCTGGGAAAGAGGCCAGACAGGGAGGACTTGCAGAAGAGCCAGTAAGGCTGGGTCGCTGAGGAGGAGGACGGGGCCAGGCAGGGGGCTGGACCGGAGAGGTCTGGAGAGACTCAGGCCTGAGGCAGCTTTCAGCACTGGAGAGGGAAAGGGGGGCAGCCAGGCAGCTTCCTTCCTGAGGTCAAGTTCCCCAAGCTGGTGGCAGACAGGACCCAGGCTACTCGCCCCTCCTCGGGGAGGGGGCAGGGAGGGCAGCCCTCCACTTCACTCTGAGCTACCTGTCAGCGGTCCTTCCCAGCAGGAAACCTCTCCACTCACTGGCTGACCTGCTGGCCCAGCCCTCCCCCTCCTCTCGCACTGCTGGGCCAAAAGACACAAAGGAGCCTAGTGCTGCACTCTTTGCAGTGCCCACTCCTTGTGACCAGGGGACACAGACTTGGTGAATCAGTATTTCCAATCTTGTTTCCCTCCCTTTTTCTCTCCTCCCTTATCTTCTCCCAGACCCAGCTAATTAAAGAAAAGGAGGTGGAATAGACTGCATGGGAAATTATACCATGATGACAGCTAACGCAACGTGCTCCCAATGTACCAAGCTCCTTCCTAAATCTACATCTTATTTAATCCTCACAATTCACCTGCAAGGCAAGGTCTATGGAGCAAAGGAGGCAGGCGCTGTGAAGTAACTTGCCCAGGGTCACAGGCCCAGGAGAGGTGGAGCTAGCATCGAACCCAGTAGCCAGGCGCCAGCACCAGGCCCTGAACTGCAGTCCTAGTCCGCCTTAGCCAGTCCAGCCTTTCTGAGGAGGGGAGAGCATTTGCAGAGCCCACTGGGAAGGTCCAAGGAATGCGGGTTAAGAAGGTTACAGAACACACCTGTGACCTCAAGCGCACAAAGTCAGAACTCAAATATCCTCCCAGCCCCTGGGCAGATGGGAATGGCATGCTCATTAACTGAAAGGGTTGGGCCCTGCAGCGGGGGTAGGGAGGGGAGAAGGACAGAGAAGGAGGGAAGGGGCGGAGGGTGCTAAGGGACTGGCTGGACTTTTGTGTCCCTTGAGTAGAGATGGGAGAAGTGCACAGGAGACAACCTTAGGCCTTGTCCTGAGTCCTTCATAAGAAGAGTGGGAGGAGTGTAGCCCCTGAGAGCTACCTTATGTCCCGTCCCACCCTCGGCCCCTTCCCAGAGGTCTCCACGTCCCTGCTGTCTGCAAGCCCTTACCTTTGCAGGTCTTCCTGTCTGGCTGCAGCATGAAGCCCACAGGGCAGCTGCAGTGGACGCCGGTCGCCGCATCGTGGCACTTACTGTCGCAGCCCCCGTTGTTGACAGCACAGGTCTCTGTTGAGGAGGGAGGCGGGTGGTAATGGGGTTACTGGCCCAGAGGCACCCATCAGGGTTGTAGAGGGCACAGAGGACAGCGCTACCTCCCTGTGCTTCAGCAGGAGCGTTAAGCGGAGACTCGAGGCTGCTTCCTCCCATCACGCCCAACCCCCAGCCCTTCATGGGCGCAGCCAAGCAGTCCATCTCCCTGCCCCCTGCTTGATTGAAACAAGGTGGACAGCAGTGAGGCAGGTACAAGCCAGAGCTGTCAGGCAGGAATGTGCGGGGGTGGGGTGAGCAGGAGGAATGGGAGCTGCGTGGTCACCAGGGAACAGAAGGGACAGACAGAAGTTCCCTCCTCTTCCCACTGACCATCTCTTTCGGGGTGAGCAGGGTCATGGTGGGACAGTCTCACTATGGGTGAGTGCACCTGGGGATCCCTAAGACAGCTGAGGGGTGCCCCCAATGTATCGCCCCTGCATCTCTGCGCAGCTGTACTAAGAACGATCCCACTTTGGGATGAGGCTCAGGCTCCAAGGAGCCCGTGCACTGGGTCATGTACCTTCACCTCCTCCCGAGCCCTCCTTCTAGCTCCACGAGATAAACTGACTGGTCATTGTTTTACTTTCCTAATGGGAGGTAATGTGCAGGGGACAGTAGGGTCCAAAGGAGAAGAATGCAGAGAAGAGAGGGTGTGGAAAGGTAGGGGAGAGAGTTAGAGAACCCCAGAGCTAGACAAAACCAGAACCCTGTTTCACTGTCGTTTCTGTTGCTCACTCCTGGCTGGTGGTATTTCCCTTTGCTGAGGGGCCAGAGGGGAAGTATGCATGGGTCACTCTTCCTATTTGCTGAATTCAGAGCAGAAGAAAAACAGTTTTAGACAGCAGCTTGTGAGAGCTGGACAGGTCCAGGAAAACCATCAGCTCAGATAGTGCAAGAGCCTGACCCCGGGACTGGGAGGTGTTACGGACCCTTCTGTCTAGGATGCTTGGAGTTTTTCCCTGTAGGGAGAGAACATCCCAGGTGTCTCTGAGGAAAGAGGAGAGAAGTTCACAGAATTGGAGGAACTGATGAGGAAAGCACAGGACGGTGCTGTCGTCTTTAATCCTAACAAGCCCCATCCTTGTCCCTGACTCAGAGAGCAGGGCCAGGGCTCCAGAAGAAGCCTGGCTCTGGCTGGGGGCCTCTGGCCATGTCCCTCAAGGGGCCAGGCTTAGGAGCAGCCACCGTGGGATCCTGCGTGTCATTCCTCCCTCAGCCTCTCCTGAGGTTCCCAAGACCATGAGGAAGCTGGAGGGAACCTTGAGACCGAGCCGAACTTCCCCACGGTGTTCTAAGAGGCCCACTAGGTCCTAGAGCAGAGGGTGGAGAGCAGAGATCCTGTGCCACATCTGGGTGGCTTCTGAAGGGTCCAGGATGGGAGGCGGCAGATGCCCACTCCAGCTGGACCAGGAAGCTGGGCGGCACTGTCCACCTCTTCAGGACAGCACCGCTCCGAGCAGGGTGGGACAGCAGGGTGGCACAGCCTCGCTCTTGGTGCTCCAGGTTGCCGAATCAAAACCACAAGTCACCCTGAGCTAACTGTGCCCGGTGCTTCCTAGATGTGCCACACATGCCTCCCGATCACTGCAGCACTCCGAGGACTGTCATTTCTCCCCCTTTACAGAGGAATGAGCTGTGGTCAGAGAGGACCTGAGGTCACACGGGTAGAACGGGGCAGAGCCATGATGCAAGCTCAGGTCTGTCCAAGCGCAGATGCCACGATCTGAACCGTGATGGAGCAGAGAATGGCGAGCGATGCCAGGACTGTGGCTGATGCGGGTGAGAACCCCGGAAAGATGCCCCATGGAGGGGATGCCATCGAACCCCTATCTCGGGGCACAGCAGCATGGTGGAGGATGGAGCCGGTTGGGTTTTAACTGTGCAGTGAAGGGAGGGGAGCGGGAGCAGAACCGGAAAGAGGGAAGACACTGACGGGAACCAAGGAAGATGAGACCAACGTGAAGGCTCCCAGGCCAGCTCTTGGGGGCTCAGGCTTCCTGTCACCTGATGGGCCCAGTTCCCGGGCTGCCAGGGGAGCCCTGACAGGCTGGGGCCCAGCCGGGCTGGGCTCGATGGGCATGCGGTTAGTGGGAGCCTCAGCGGGTTAGCCCTTCCCCTAGCAAGCCAGTGAGAGCAAGCGGAGAGAGCAGACATATTTACCATTAGAAACGGCCTGAGTGGGGATGTGCTGCTCTAGCCGCCTTTCCCCTGTTTGACATCGTAAAAAAGCTGTTTAGATGCTGTGCAGGAGCCACTGCGGCCCGCTGGACCCCTCCCCACCCACTCCTGCACCCTGCAGGCCCAAACCACTAGCCCCAAATGGTGAGCCCGGGAAATCCTAGGGTACTCTCACTTTTCAGCCGTGTCCTGCTTGGAATCCTCCAAGAAGGCAAGGTTCCAGCAGGTGACTGAAAAAGTGAGTCTCAGAGAGGGGTGGTTGTGGGCCCAAGACCACACAGCATGCCAAAGGCAAAGCCGGCATGCAGCGTCAAGTCTTACAAACAGCCAAGTCCCCAGCCTTTCTGTGCAACCATCCCCCCAGTCTCCCCCTACGTGAGTATCCTGGTGGCCCCAAACAATGAAGTTTTTCTTAGCAAGGCTGGTACAGGGCAGGTACAGTAAGTTCTGCTGCAGCAAAGGAAGAGGAACCAGGAAAGAACACAGCTGTGAGCCCTAGAACAGCCACCTATGCGCTCTTCTGCCCCCTCACCCCTGGCCGTGGCCCCGTGGCAGAGTGGGTCTGGGGTTAGAGAAGAGCTCAAACTTAACCGGGGTGCTTCCAAAAGCAGCCATGTGCAGGACCATCTGAAGAGAAAGAAGCCGAGCGGGATCCGGGCCTCATGTCCCTGGGCCCTAAGCCTGACTCACGCGTCTTTTCTCGGGGGACCGCATGCAGTTTCTTTTGGCAGATGCCGGGGATGTGTAATGTGTCCAGCCGGTGGTGGGAAGTTTAGAAAGCAGAAGAATTAGACCTCTGAGGAGAAAACGAAAGGAGCCGGAACAACCCAGGCCGGGGAAGGCAGCAAGACCTAAACATGTTTTTGGGTGTTTGATGAGTTAACGGAGAGGAGAAAGTACAGCAGGAGGATTTTCAGGGACAGAGCACATAGCAGCGTGTGTGCCAAGGGAACCCCGGAAGAGCACCGTCCGCTCCCTGTCCTGTCTGCGGTGAAGGGGCAGGGAGCCTGGCTCTTCACATCTCTGATGTGCGGGGCAGTGTGCACAGCTCCCCTTCCCCGTCCTGTTGGAGCCCCCCAGTGGGACGGCCCCCCATGACCACCTATGCCCACAGCAAGCTCACCTCTACCTGGCTCAAGGCCCAGTCTCACCCCCAGCCAGAGATCGTCCCTTCCATCTCTCACTTCTCTAAGGGGACCCCTCGACCTGTGGTCTTCTCAGCACTAAAGACGGAGTTAGGAATCAGCTTGAAGGAATTAGGCTCATGCGGGGCACCTGGACACGTGAGGCGTGGCCTAGGAGTCTAGAAGAGGGAGCCAGGTAGTAAAAGGGCCCCACATCAGGGCGAGAGCGATGGAAGGCTGAAGTGGGTGAGAAAAGAGGGCTCTAGGGGAAGCTGAGAGGGACCACTGGGAAGGGGAAGAGAGAAGGGCACGTGGGGTGGGGGGAGCCAGAGGACCTGCAGAAAGGTGAGGCAGGGAAGGACAAAGATTCCTGGAGCTAGGAAACCCCAGCTCTTAGCTCGGGGCTGGTCATTCCAGAAAAGCATTCTGTCCCGCCCCCAGTTTCAGAAGAGGGACCGGGGCTGTGACGGCTCTCCTCTCACCAGAGAAAGGAGTCACTAGCCACCCAGGGCCTCTGGGCAGAGGTTGCCAGCTGCCTTCCCCTGCTGTCCGGCCCCTTCTCCACCCCAGCCTTGGTCAATAAGCACCTCTGCTAAGGATCCCCATTTGGCAACACTTTATCCTGGGAAGGAGAGGACGGTGGGGCTCCCGGGAGTGGTGGTGGCGGAACCAGTGGGGAAGAGGGTCAGGTGAGCACTTGACTCTCTCAGAGTTGTCCCTCACTAGACCTGGCATTTTCTGGGTCTTCAGGCCCTTACCAGTCGCTGTCCAGCGCTTGGGTCCCCATTGGTCCTCCCTTGTTCCCTAGGGCCTCCACCGCCCCCACCCCACAGATGGACCGAGTTCTCCCCTGCCTCACCCACCGATGCATGTCTTCCCGTCGGTGTGGAGCACAAACTTGACATGGCAGCCGCAGCGGGGACCCTGCTCTGTGTCGTCGCATGTGTGCTGGCAACCACCGTTACCGTAGTTGCACGTCACTGTGCGCAGAGAGGGCAGGGGGCCTGTCAGCTTGCTTCCCCCTGGGTCCCAGCTCCCCACGGCATGGCAACAGCCCCCTTTTCTAGCTGCCTCTCCCACACTTCTTCCCTCCTACCTCTGTCCCCGGCTGCTGAGGCCCCACATCCCTTCCTCTTCTTTTTCCCCGCCCACCCCTGGCAGCCCAGCGATCTCACATTTACAGTCCCGTTGGTTCTTGGTGAGCTCAAAGCCAGGGCGGCATTCACAGGCAATACCCCCTTTGGGGGTCTCCCGGCAAATGTGGGCACAGCCATGGTTCTTGTTCATGCAGTTCATTCCTTCTAAAAGAGGAAAGGGGAGAGGTGAGTGTTCTGTACCCCCGGATGCCTGCTCTGGGTGGAACTACAAGGGGATGTGGGAGGCTTAGGAAGCGGAGGATTCCACCGATGCTGTGACACAAGAGGAGACTGTGTCTCCTCGTCACAGGCCTCCTGCCTCATCCACAGAGCTGGATGCTGAGGAGCAGAGCTCAGAGCCGTTCTGAACAGGGTGTAGTAAGTATTAGTAAGTAACAGGTATTGTGCCACCCCAAAGAACGTGTGTGATCTCTCTGTCCTTCAAACAACCGATGTCTCGTAGTTGGCCAGCACTGCGCCAGGGACTCAGTATTTTGGAAGGACGCACTTCACTTCCCTCAAAGGGCTTACCCTCACCCTGGATGTATATAAGAAATATAACAATCAGATCTATAATGTGAGTGGGAAGTGACCGGTATAGGTAATTACTCTGCTACAGACATTTATGAAGCTCCCACTCCATGCAGGGCAGTATTTTAGCTGCTAGAGATACAAGAGGTGTTAAGACATAGTTCCTGCCCTCACAGTGTCATAGTCCAGTGGAGGATGAACCATGGAAACGGGTACAACATATCCTGCTCTTCCTGCCCAGCTCCCCCAATCCAGGCCAAGGAAGGCTTTGGTGAGCAGCAGCTTGGAAAAAAACATCTACATTTAGGAGTGACATCTGCCTCAGGTCTGGACCAGAGGCCATCCCAAGGTAGACTTGATCCCATACTGACCCTACCCCCAAATTAATTCCTCCAGACTTTTCTCTAATACAGTGTCTGTCCACGAAGCCGTAAGGATGGGACTGAGTTGAGGGAGAGAGGAGGAGCCGGCAGGATTGAGGGGAAGAGTGAAATTTAGGGTTACTAAAGAATAGCTAGGAAGAAGAGCCTGGGGCTGGGGGTCGGGCCCTCCCCGGTCACAGGCTGACCTTCTGGCCTCTGGATGCAGGTGTGCTGGTTGTCGCTGAGGAAGAAGCCTTCTCGGCAGTGGCACTCATAGCTGCCCATCATGTTGACACAGCTCTGCTGACAGCCGCCATTGCCCTCGGCGCATTCATCCACATCTGCACAGGACAGGTGATCGGTGGGGCCATGGAGTGCAGGCCAGGGTCCGGGGTGTGCCCTGGACTTCCGCAGCAAAGGCTGAAGGAGTCCTGAAGACACAACCCCACCCCTCACCTACACCCCTTGTCAATTAATGAGACACTGAGAGAGAGCTAGTGAACCAAGCAAGTGTGTGTGTGGTCGGGGGTTTGAACTTCGCTCTCCTGGGTGAAGCCTTACTTCTCTCTCTCTCACTGAGGGCAGAGGTCAGGAAAGGAGCCATAGAGAGGACCAGTGACAAAGGTAAGGATGGAGAGGGGTCACACTGCTCAGGGAGGTAACCAGGGGAAGCAACTGGCTGTGATAAGTAGCCAGGGAACTTGGAAATGGTTCTGCGTTAGGGTGAGCTGTGGCCGTGGCGCTAAGGCTGAGGGCAGGGTGGGGCGAGGTAGTGAACCTCAACTCCTCGTGGGGTCGGGGCCATTTCTGTGGACAGGCCACAGCCTTGTCCACCCCTTCCCCCCACGCCTGGGCTCGCTGCCATATTCCTTAGCCTTTCTCCTATTTTGGTTTAACAAAACAAATTCTGGCAGCTTGGCAAGCAGGGGTGGAGGAAGAGCTGCCAGGCCACACCCTGGATGGTGGAGGGGGAGCGGTAGGCTCTTACCCCCAAATCGCCACCCCCATGACCCAGGGCCAAGCTCATCCTGGGGCTCCCACTTCAAGGCCTTGACTCCATCTCTGTGCAAGCGTCTCAGTTTGCTTTGGTCCAGGAAGCATCAAGGAGATTGGATACCACAGGGAGCGGCTAGAATCTGGGCTTCCAAGGGCTCATTTGTCCCTCCTTCCCCATCCTCTCCGCTGAGGACCTACACTCCCCTCCTCTTCTGGCCAAGGGCAGAGGTGCTTGCCAGTCAGCTGGCTCTGGGCAGAGAGACGCACCTGTTGGCAAAGCTAAGACCGTACACTTCCCTCTGCTTCATCCTTGTCTCTGCCCCATCTTTTGTCCCACCTTATCCCTCTCTTCTTGTTCTTGCCCCATCCTACATTCCGTCCTATCTGCTGCCTGCCTTTCCAATCTTGTGGCTTGGCTACTGTAGCCAAGTTCTTTCTTTCAACTTTCCGTAGGGAAACGTAGGCTCAGAGCATGATTAGCTTTCTCAGCATTCTCCTGAGTTGAAGGTCGGGTGGAGACTTTGCCCTAAACCTAGACAGACCTTGGCTCCTCCAGTCCTCTCCATACCAAGTGATTTTCTGTGCCTCTGATTGTGCATCTTCCCAAAACACTTACAGGGAAAAGAGAATGGGTGAGAGTCAGGGGCTTAGAACAGGAAGCAAGGCCCCCAGAAGCTGATGTTCACGTTCTGTAGGCGACTCCCTCTCCTCTCCAAAGGTCACGGCTTCTCTTCCCGAAGGAGGTCATCAGGGTGAGTGGGTAGAGGAGAAAGGAGGCCCTGCGCTGGGTAGCCAGAGTGGTGGCCAGGGCTGGGCAAAGGACCCAGGTCTAGGGGCCTGGAATGGGAGGAGAAACCTAAAGCCAGCCCAATGGTGGGGTGACAGGTAGAGGCCACTCTGCAGTAAGGAGGCCGTTTGAGGCCAGTAGGAACTAAACACCTAAATCGTGAATTTAGTCAGGTCAGGGCGGGGCCCACCACAGCCCACTTTTCTGGGCACCACTCCGCTGCTCTTTGTTTCCTGTTCTACACTCTGTTTTGGAACCAAAGAGGAAGAGTTTGGGAGAGAAATAGTCTGGGTTCAGATCTCAAATCCTTTTCTGCTATGGGCTTCAGCTGTTCTACTTGGGGAAGAATCTAGCTTGGTATCAGTAACTTTTCAAAATGACAGAGACCAAAGTTCAGTTCAGTTCCCTAGAGATTCTGTTTCTGATCCAGCTCCCGGGACAGAGCAGATCAGTGAGATGGAGGTCTCAAAAGCAAGGACAGGGTGAGACACAGTGGTGGAAAAGTTGGGAGAAAACTCGCCTGGCAGGACCAGGGACTCCAAGGGCCCAGGGGGCCTCATCATCTTAAGCAACATCATTTCTCCCTTTATTGAGCACTGCTATGTACTCAGGATTGTCCAGGGCTCTTACACACGTTCTCTTATGATGACCTACCCAGCAGCTGTTGGGTGGAATATTACCACCCGGTTTTGGAGATGAGGAAGCTGAGGGCCCCAGAGACTCATTCATTTTCCCCAGGCCCCACAATTAGCTATGGAACTGGGACCTACCTGGACCCACTGTGCTTTACCCTCTCTGGCCAACCCTTACATTTTTCTCCTGGCCCGCTCCCAGGAAAACTTCCTCGAAGCATTTCCTCTGATTTTCCTCACTCAGCAGCAAGACTATTGCGTCCTTAGTGGCCAGTCCGGAAGAGGAGGCTGACCTTCCTCTCTTGAGGGAATACAGCTCTTTGTGATCACTTCCCCTCCTGAAAACACCTCTTTCCCTACAGCATACCCCCTAACCAGCCCTCTTGCTCACCCAGACAGTTGTGTCCATCATGCGCCAGGTGGAATCCATCGTAGCAGGTGCATCGGTAGTTACCGGGGATGTTGACGCAGTCGTGCACACAGCCTGCGTTGTCCTCTCGCTCACACTCATCCACGTCTGTGGGCACAGAGAAGCTGAGACAGCCATGCCCACCTGTGTGTCCTCACTGACCATGCCTGGGCGCAGCCTTGTGGGATTTTTTGTTTTATTTTGTTTTTTGTAGTGTTGGGGAATGAACCCAGGGCCTGTGCATGCTGGCAAGAACTCTATCACTGAGCCACACCCCCAGCTCCTTGTAGTTACTTTTAAAAAAATCACCTACCAGTCACGGTGGTGCGTGATTATAATCCCAGAATTCTGGGAAGAGGATTACAAGTTTGAGCCCAGCCTGGGCACCTTAGTGACTTAGTCAGAACTTGTCTCAAAATAAAAAAGGATTGGAAATGTAGCTTAGTATGGAGGCCCTGGGTTTAATCCCCAGTATCTTACTGCCTCAGCCTCCTGAATGCTGGGATTACAGGTTTATGCCACCACACCCAGCTGGCTAATTTTCATCTAAACCTAAATCATAAGCAGTTTTTATGTCTCTGTCCAGTCTTTCTAATTACCACTGTCCATGGCCACAGAATATTCCATTGTGTTGCTGTATCATAATTTGTTAGTCCTCTATCTCTACTGTTTGGCACTTAGGTTTCTTTCACTCACTTTACTATCATAAATGATGCATCAGAGAACATTGTCAGGGGCTGGGGATTTAGCTCAGCGGCACAGTGCCTGCCTGGCAAGCACAAGGTCAAGAGTTCGATTCCCAGTACCGGAGGAAAAAAAAACAAAAAAAAAAAAACAGCATTGTCACTCATATTGTTTCACTAAATTTCCTTGGAGTAAGACCCTAAGAGCAATCCTTGGATCAAAAGTTATAAATACCTTTTAAAAGTACTGCTAGGTATTACAAAACTATAGTGAACCTTCCACAATCATAGGTTGCACGTTCACAGATTCAACCAACGTGGATTAAAAATAGTCCAAGAGGGGGCTGGGGATTTAGCTCAGCGGCAAAAGTGCCTGCCTGGCAAGCGCAAGGTCGTGAGTTCGGTTCCCGGTACCGGAGAAAAACCAAAACCAAAAAAAAAAAAAAAAAATAGTCCAAGAAAAAATTCTATCAGTGCTGATTTTTTTGGTCACTATTCCCTAAACAGTGTAATATAACAGCTATTTATTTACATAGCATTCACATTGTATCACATTTTATAAGTAACCTAGAAATGATTTAAAGTATACAGGAGGATCATGGATTTTATGCAAACAACTATGACATTTTATACAAGGGACTTCACATCCTTGAATTGTGGTATCCTTGGAGGGTCTTAGAATCAATACCAGTCAGATACTGAGGGACAACTATATTTTCCAATTTATAATGGCCACCAGGACTTCACACATGTACCTTGTCCACTGAAGTCTCATCAGTACTGAAAGGCATAAATTGAAAATAATATCCCAAGGCTATTCTAGTTTATGTTAATTATGAGGGGAGGATGTGTTTGTTTACAGTGTGAATTTCCCCTGGGCTACACATCTGTTCCTGTCTTTGTGGGCGTAGTATAAGGGTCTGAAGGTGGGGGTTCCAGCTCCAGGAACCTCAGGCCTAGTCACATGATCCTGACTCACCCACCCAGTCAGGTGTGTGGCTGTGAACTCCTCTACCAGGGCCGCTGCAGACCCGTATGGTGTCTTGGTGCAAGATGGAGCAGGGCGCCCTCTGGGAAGATGTAGCCGCCCATCCGTGGTCAGTGGGGATCTCAGGCCTAAGGGTGGCCAGCTGGGGCCAGTGGCACCGGTTTCCCCTCTCCCAGGGGTCCCGCTTCCCTAGATGCCCACCCAGGCTCACCTTTGCAGTGCTTGCCGTCCCCCGTGTAGCCAGACTTGCAGATGCACTTGTATGACCGAGGGGTGTTCTGGCAGATAGCATCGATGTGGCAGTTGTCAGTCCCCTCCACACACTCATCCACATCTGGCAGGGGCAGAGGGAGACACATGAGGCCCTCAGGGGTGCCCCTTGAGGGGTATCTTGAAGGTGGGTTTCCCAAGAACAAAATCCCCTCTTTTCGAAGACAGAGCCCGCACCCCTTCTAGATGTGTTCTCCCACATCCCTCAGATTTCAGAGCAGGAAGGCTCTGTAGCTTCAGGAACTGAGACACCCCCACACACACTGCATGCTGCCTTCAAAAATACCTAATCCAGTGACACTTAACTCCTATCACTTGAAGCACTGCTCTTATACTTACAGACACACAAAAAACCCTGAGACACTTAACATGATTAGGAATAATTGAGCTAGTGTGAATTAGTTTACTTTTCTTAGGAACAGGCTTAGCAGGTGGGGAACGACAAAAGGCACAGGGACAGCAGCCTCTAGGAAGGTCGCAGTGTCCAGCGGTCATTGATGAAGAAAAGGAGATGGCATCTGAGGGATCCTCATCTGCCTCACGATTCTGCTTTAGACCAAGCCTGCTCCCACTGGCGCACCATGGCAGCAAGAAGCTTTAGAGAGGAAAGAAGTTTCATCGGGAAGATTCTCTCTGGCCTCTGCGCTATCAACAGTAGAGGACCTGGGCCTAGCAGAGTTTGGCGCCAGTAACCTGAAGCCTGGTAAGTGCGGCGCTCTCACCCCTCCAGGTCCACCCAGCACCCTTCATCGTTTGCTCTAACCCCAAGTGTGCTGTCTAACAAGCACCACACACAGAGCTGCGCTAAAGGAAGAGGCCACCCCAGGTCTGGCAGAAATGAGGATGATTAAGGAAAGACCTAGAAAAGAGTCCTCAGCAGACAGTTCTAACCTCTGGCAATAGGATGGTGCCTGGAAAGCCAGTGCAGTAGGGAGACTCATTTAGCTGAAGATGCTTTCCTGAGTGTGTTTGTAGTAGGCATTATCGTGGGTGCCGTGGAGGCTCGCAGATGACTCCAGAAGGACACATGAATACCATGAGGCAGGATGCAGTGTGTGCTACGAGGCACTAGAGATAAGGGACCTTGCCCTGGCTGTGCATCTGAGTCAGCTCCCTGCGTCATGCCCCAGCCTCCAGATTCGAGACTAGAGCCTAGCGATAAGTATTTTTCTAAAGATAGCAAGTAATTCAAGTGTGCAGCCGGGTTGGAGAACCTGTGTACAGGGAAGGTCCACGGAAGAAGAGATTATTTCTATCTGTGAACTCCAAAACCAGACAGTACCTAAGTAACAGCCTGCCAGTAAGAGACGGGACTTGAAACCAAGACAGTCTGACTGCCAACTGCGATCTGTGGGCTGCAAAACCACATGGGTTTTGTTTCAATGCAGATTCTCGGGCCGTTGTAGCGCTACTGAATCCAAATCCTTAAGGTGCTTGGCATATTTTTAGTGGATGGACAGGTCCGTAATCTCTCCAGCTTACAGATTCTGATGAGCCCTAGCTTCAAGCAATTACCTGTCCTCTGCTTTCATTCTTCAGGAGTACTTAGGGGAGAAAAAAGAAAGGAGTACTAAGGGGGCGGATCTGAAGTATCCTGGGGCTAAGAAGAGAGCTGAAGCTGGAAGAGCAGCCCCAAAGATCCTGCCTCAAAACTTCTGGGTTCTACTCTGCTGTCATTCAACTCCCTTCTACTCTGCCCACTGACTCTAAGTGCTGGGAGCCCATCCACCCTTACGCTCCTCCTCCCTCAGGCTCTAGAGCCATGGTGTCTGCCTGCTGGCCACCCTGGGAAGTCATCCCCAAGTGAGATAAGAGGAGGCCAGAATGCTAGTTCATAAGCGAGGCCAAGAGGGACCTTGCAGATGCTAAGAAGCTCCTTGAGAATCATTTTGTCCAGCTGATGGAGAGAAAGCAGAACCTAGAAATGCACTACCATAGAAAGACCATAAACACTGGAACCAGTCAGTTCCCAGATTAAGATCCAGCTCTACTACTCTCTGGGAAGGGCTTTCTTATTTTTTATCTCCTCCTTTTTAAAGTGGGGATAATCATCCTCACCTCGTCGTGACAGGTTGTGAGCCGCTGATGAGATTAATTTATGTGAAGTACTTCATGAAGTGTCTGATAGACTGGATGTTCTCAGTACAAGAAGCCCTGGATAATAAGCGTGAAGTCACTGGTTCAGACGGCAGTTGTTCTGGGACCAGGCTGTCTGCTACAGTAGGTCTGAGTCCCAAGTGGCTAACTGACTTAAAATTCAGCTCCTCAGCTGCACTAGCCACAGGCCAGTGGCCACCACAGAGGACAGTACAAACATGAAACATGACACGAAGTTTATTGGACAGCACTGCTCTAGGAGTTCTAAATAAGGGATAACTTGGGCCCAGGGACATAGAAGTACCTCTTCTGGGGCCGGCTCACAGCTGTCTATACTTCACTAGGGCCTGGGTCAGGCTCTCTGGGCCCCAGTTCTTCTCTGTCTCCCTCTCTATGCTCACCAGTACTGGAGTGAACTGTGATGCAGACCACAGCAAACCCAAGATCCCTGGCAGAGCCTTTAGACCCCGCAGCAGCCGGCCTTCTCCCTCATCTCCTTGCCCAACGCTTGTTTTACTTTATCTACCATTCTGTTCCTTCTCACACATGCACACACATCTCATCCTTCACATTCACACACGTGTTGTTCCTCTTTTCCCTTCCGGCCACACTGCAGCTTTCTAAATCTGGCTCAAAATGGTCTTCCCTAAAGCTTATCCCGGTGAGCCCTGTTCCTCGTGAGTCTGTGGTCCTGGGGACTCAGCTTGCCTCCACTCATTTGCAGCTCTTGCTCAGCTGCTCTGTGAGTGTGCTGAAGCTGTCTCTTGTAACACTTTTGCCACCTGCCTGGGAACTTGCTAAAGAAGGGACGTTCCAACTGGTTGGAATCTTTTGCAGCCAAAGAGGCCTAAGGCAGAACTGTGAAATAGGGTCACAAATTATAGCCAGCACCTCCTCCCCTTGCTAGTTCTCTGCTCCAGAGCTCCCTCCCACCAAACCTGCCAACCCAGAATCCGTTCTCGCAGGGATTTGTGCGGGACTCGTGGGCATAATCCCATCTTAGCCTTTTCTCTCAGGGCACAGGTGTTTACTGGTTGGCAAACCAGTTGGCACTGCTGGGCATGAATTGGGTTAGCCCCATGGTCTGCAACCCTGGCTGCACATTGGAATCACTGGGGACCTTTGAGAATGTGACTGTCGAGGTGCCCTCTGGATCCACTCAAACAAGGTCTCCAAAGAGAGACTGAGCTGCTGTTTCTTCTCCTTGCCTAGCTCAGGCAGTGTGGGTGAACTACTTGCCAAAGCTGGGAGGAGACGCTGGGGCAGCAACGAGACAGAGTGGGTAAGAGAAGGGCTGCTGGAGTGGCACTGGGTCAGCTCTAATGCCAGCGTGTCCAGCTCTGTGTGGTCCTGAGCCAGCTTCTGAACTTACTGCTCTCTCCTCTGTACATGGGAATAACAGTCACTAGACAGCCCCCCACGGGGCTGCCATGAGAATCAAGGACCTAGTGCCACCATACGGGCATGCAGTGAGTGCTCAGCAAGGGTTTGCTACTATTATTATTCCATCTCTAACTTTCTCTCCAGTATTCTGATTGTGTATTGGATGCTTGCTTCATGCTATACTCAGGGCAGTAAGCTCCTTGAGGCCATGGCTTCTCAATCTTTGAAATCCACACTGCAGGGGCTGGGGAGATAGCTCAGTGGCCCTCCAGCGCCTGCTTGGCAAGCACAAGGTCATGAGTTCAATCCCCGGTACCACAAAAGAAAAAAAAAAAAAAGAAATCCACTCTGCAGTGGAAATAGAGTTGAAACTGGGCGTGGTGGTGCACATCCATAATCCCAGTACTCAGGAGACTGAGACAAGAGGATTGCTGTGTGTTTGAGGCCAGCCTGGACTAGTTAGTGAGTTTAGGCCAGCCTGAACTACATAGCAAGACCCTGTCTCAAAAAACAAGAAAAGGTTAATGTCGTTGAGCATATTTCTTCCACCAGTCAAAGTTACTGAGCACAGACTAAGGATGCACTGAGGGCATTTTGTAAATGTTTGTAACACAGATGAGTGGGTGGCTGTGATCCGTATCTATAGTATCGCCTCTCCAGAAGCTCACTTCTTCACTCTCCTATGGCCTCCCAACTCCTTGGGGTGCAGGGCAGTCAAAGAAGCGGGACAAGAAACTTAAAAAGGAACAGAACCCGCTTCAAGGCATCCATCTGATGAATGCCAGGGCCAGAAGAGACTGGGAACAATGAATTACAGTTCTTTAGCTGTCATCCAGCAGGGCTACAGGCATCCCCCATTAAACAGACGAGGCGCCTAAAACGCAATGGTGTTACCTTGGCAAAGAGCAAATAGCAGTATAGCGCGAGGCCTCGGGTCTTTGGTCCCAGTCCAGTGCTCTCTCACTACCCACTGTCTCCTAGATTCTAGTAGTGGTCCCCAGCCTTTTTGGCATCAGGCACTCGTTTCATGTAAGAAAATTTTCCAGTGTCAGAGGTGGGGGATGGTTTTGGGATTAGTTTCTCACAAGGAACACACAACCTAGATCCCTCACATGCACAGTTCACAGGAGGGTTTTCGCCCCCTGAGAATCTACTGCTGCTGATCTGCTCCAAGGTGGAGCTCAAGTGGTAAACTCTGGGATGGACAGCCTGTAAACACAGAAGCAGCTCCTCTGCTCACTAGCTTGCCCGCCTGTCATCTCCTGCGGCATGGCCGGGTTCCTAACAGGCCACAGTCTGCCTAGGGGTTGGGGCTCCCTGTCGCTGAAGTGCTTGAGGGAAGAACGCACACCTCAGTCAGTGTTGTGCCTCCCTAGCCCCAGCAAGCACCCATGCAGAACCATGGGTGATGGAACTGGAACTTGTATGACCATGCAGACGCTGTGAAGCTCCAGGCACAGGAGCAGCAAAAGAGCACGGGCGCAGGAGTGGGTAGGGAAGAGGAAGACACAGTCACAAGAAAGAAGAGGTGGGAGGTGTAGCGGTGGCAGGTGTCGCCTACCCTTGGATTCACTGCAGTGGGGC